ATCGGCTTTGGTTGAGGTGGAGCCATATGATGTGGGTACGACCTGTATGCCGAGGAAGTGTGAGATAGCCCCGAGATCTTTCATTGTAAATTTGGAGCTGAGATTGTCTATGAGTTTCTTGATAGCCTTTGGACAATTTCATGTAAGGCTGATATCATCAACGTTGACCAAGAAGTACATGGTAACATTGTCTGTATTATACGGGCTGATGTTATTGAGGGTGCAGGTAGGTAAGAGATTGATAAGGTACGCGGCAACTAGGATGGCTTCGACCCAGAGGATGTGCGGGAGATGGGCGTCGGTTATAAGGCTGCGAGTTGTTTCCAGAAGGTGTCGATACTTCCGTTTAGCTACGCCATTTTGAGCTGGTGTGTAGGCGCAGGTGTATTGATGGAGGATGCCGAGTTGTTTGATGAGGGATTGAAATTTATGGTTTATGAACTCACCACCGCCGTCAAATCGGAAGGCTTTAAGTTTTATGTTCAATTGTCGTGTGATCATGTTATTGAATTCAAGAAATTTGTTGAACACATATGATTTGTTGTGCATAGGGTAGATCCAGCAGTATTTGGTGTGGTCGTCAATAAATGAGACATAGTATTTAAAATTATGCGTGGAGGGAACCGGGGCGGGACCCCAGACATCAGAGTGAACTAAGTCGAATGTGTGAGAGCAACTAGTAATGGAATTAGTAAAGGGTAAACGATGGCTCTTGGCCAGATTACAAGAGTTACAATGCATATTTTTATTCTTGCTAATAGACTGAATGTAATTGTACAAGTGTTTATGTATGAGAGACAATGGGTGGCCGAGATGTTTGTGCCACAGATTTTGGATTTCTTGACCTGAAAATAGAGCGAGAGACGGTGGTGGACGGGTCGAGCGGATGGGATATAAACCATTGAGGCAGGGACCTTTAAGTAGCGTATGACCCGACGACGAGTCCTGGATGAAAAAGCCGTTAGCGGAGAAACTTACAGTGCAATGATTATCTTTGGTGAGTTGATGAATTGAAATAAGATTGAAAGAGAGATTGGGAACGTGAAGAAGATTTTGGAGGTAGAGATTATCTGTAGGGGTGGGTAGATTACCTTTACCTGAGCTTTGGATCATAATTTGGTTACCATTGCCGAGTGTTATCTGTTGTGCTCCATTGTAAGGATTGATCACTTGAATTTGAGACGAGTCGGAGGTTAGATGGCTTGTTGTGCCGGTATCAAGAAACCAATCATTGGAGTTGTTTGATTCGGGAGAGGTGAACAGGGCTATTTTCTGGGATTCTTCAGTGTAAGCCGGGTCATGCCGATACCAACATTTGAGAGCGTTGTGCCCGAGTTTGGAGCAGATTTGGCATGTGATTGATCAGTTGGGAGGTTTATCATTTTTGGTGTGGGAGAACCTGCTGGACGATCGACCACGGTTGGAGGAGTTGCGTCCATGGTTGCTTATGCGATAGGTTGTAAGAGCTATGGATGGGTCGGTGAGATGCAGGTTCTGAAGTTCTTTGGTGGTTTCTTGAAGTAGATTTATCTCCTCGCTGAAGAGGAGGGTGTATAAGTCGTCGAAGCTTAGCGGTTGAAGATTTGTTCTGATCGCAGTTTTGAACGCTTGATACTTCGGTGGGAGTCCGTTGAGAGTGTAGAAGATGACCTCTTCGGAATCAAGAGGATAGCCGATTGCGGCGACGGCGTCGACAAGAGATTTAATCGCAATAAGGTATTGCGACATATTATGATTATTCATGGAAATATGATGAAGTTAGTTACGGAGCTGGATTGTTCTTGAGCGGGTGGAAGATTGTAGGTGACGAGCGATGGTTTCCCAAATGTCGGAGCATTGTTCAAGGGAAAGAACGTAAGGTAGGATGCTTGGGGAGATGATGGAGTATGGAGTCGCGACGAGGTTTTGTTCAAGAAGATTCCATGTTTGTATGGAGAGCGTGGTGGATGATGGTGGGTCAGCAGTGGAGTGGCAAATGCAAGATCCGTCAAGAAAACCTGCGAATCCATTAGCTTTGAATAATTTGAATACCAGAGCTCACCATATGGGGTAGTTTTCGACAGTGAGAGTAGTGGAGACGATGCCTTTAATTCTAGTAATAAGGAACTTGAGTTACTGCAGGATGGGAGACTCGTTGAGGAGTGCTGTAGTGGCAGGTTGAGCGGCGAGGGGAGTGGTGGTTGAAGAAGAAGATGACACCATTGTCTACTAGAAGGCGTCAGAAAGAACGAGAAACCAAAAAAGAAGAGGAGAGAATGGCTTCAGGCAAGAACCTGCTCTTATACCATGAAATCTTGATTGGAAACAAGATGGAGAACAGGGAAAGAGAAGAACCAAGAAAAATAGAATTTGATTTCCTTAATTTGTTTGGATAGTAAACATGAGTTTATAAAGTGGAAAGTAAGACATTGTACAAATGAGATAGTGCCACGTGTGATCTTCATGGCATATAAGTAAATTGCTTGTCTAACACTTTGTTCCTGCAATTGCATGAAAAGAAATTTAAGACATTTCTTTCAATGGGTCGTTATAATCAGTTGGACTATAATAGAGAAGGACAGCTTTGTTGAACTCTTCCCAGGTAAGGGGTCCACAAATTTTGTGAACCAATAGTGCCATTGTAGGGTGAACGATAAGCTTAGCTTGATAAGAGCTTATTCATGTTGATTTGATAAGGTAAACTGACGAGTTTGAATATTTTTTATAAATACTCGATAGCTAAATAAAATAGCTTGAACAACTTGGCGGTTAGTTCATTTATGTTTATAAACAATATCATTTAATGCTCGTGAATAAGTTCATTATGAAGTTCAATTACAACTTTACCAGAGTTTTAAACATATATATATATATATATACATTGTACTAATTAATGATATAGATTCAATGTACTTATACCAAGCATGTGATATACCGAGTACGTGATTAAGATAATAATTTTATATAGATTAATTGGATAACATGTGTATTAGAGGGTTTTACTACATTGACATGATATTGACAGTCTTTACTAGTGCTTTGATCTTATCGCTTTATATAATTTCTTTATTTATTAATATAACTGATATGACGACTATTTTATAGATTCGACACCAGTACTAGTTTAAAGGTTTAGGGTTTATACTACTTTATTAGCTTCCATATCATATTATTTTACTATTTATAAATTTTACTATTATTGCATGTATAATTTACTATTTTTTCATTGATTTATGATCATATTAATGTTATTGCTATGATTTGACTATCAACATGCATATTACTTCTTTATAGTGCTTTGAGTCAGTTATAGGAATTTATGACCTACTAAGCTTTTTAACTCATTATATATAATTTAAATAATTTTATGTCAGAGTAGATGATCAACATTATGAGATTGATCAGGATTCTCCAAATTTACTATCATTTTATTTCTTTCTATTTTGTAGTTATTATTTTATTCTCAGGACTGAAAAGATATGTCGTAATTATATAGAACCTAAGTAGTGTACATTATATATATATATATATATATATATATATATATATATATTTGTTGGTAATGGAATTTATTTTTTAGTTGTTATACTTTATATATCTATTTATTTTTTGATATATATTATATTACAATAGTCTGATGTAATTTTTTTTTCTTTATAAGCTAAGCTACAAGTTGTGGGACCTATATGATTAGTTGCATTTATAAATCATTTTCACGTTACAATGTGCATGCTTCTTGGTCTATTATGTTTCTAATAATGCCACTTGTCTGTCTTATTTATGATTTTTTTGGCTATTATCAAAAATAGAAAAAAAATCTTTAGGATTGTTGGATTCAAATTTGTTCAATGATGATACCCAACCCTACTAATAGGTGTTTAGTAGAAGATAGTTAGAGAACCAAGTAAGAACGTGTTTAGTATAGAGAGTAAGTGGAGACCTCTAATATCTTTGTGAATAATCCCTATAATATGATGTCTAAACTATGCATCTGACTTCTTATTTTTAGAGTTAAGAGGGCTATATGAAAGATTACATATAAAATAAATAGAAAAAATAGTGCATGATGTGATCAGTACAAATTGCATGGATAGGTGGACTAGTTAAAAAGATTTACATGTGGACCCCTATCATTAATGATCCCTTCTCTTCGACGTGTATATTGAGTGAGTCTTTTTGAGAGACAACTTTGGATGACATTTTAGAACTTGATATATAGGGAAAGTTTGTGAAGGTGAGTCCTTAAGAACATATAATAAGTCCTTGAGAATAGATGGTGAGTCCTTTTGGCTGAAATTGTTGCTGGCTTAGGATGAGTTTGATCCAAAGAGTTAATGTGGATTCTATATGTGGGTGCTTCTTGATACTTTATCCAAGAGAACCATGGGAGGTGGATGTTTTTTATTGTGAAAAATTGCTATGTGAAAGAGAATTATATTAAGATGGCCACTTTTTGGATCGAAAACCTATTGGGAAAGACCTTTGGAGGATCCCATCGAGGACAATTGCACATTTGGTTTGATTTTCTATGGTGAATCTATATATTTTGATCTCCACATGGGTGAGTAGCTACTTGCCCACAAGCTAGTGTTAGTGACTCCTTTGTAGGGCAAAGCTTCCTTAGGGTGAGTGCTGATTTAACTGCATGCTCGCCCTTGTTAAGTCCCATGAATTGGAATCCAATGAGACACGTATGAGTTACATACATTGGCATGTATGTGTATATAAGGACATCCTAACATAATTTATGTCAAGTTGGTTTAAGATCCTTTAGATTTAAATTAAGATTACTATTTATCTATTATATCATGAATGACACTAATCTCACAAGAAATCCAAAGACAAAACTCATGAGGATGTTATTTTTTCACTAAAAATTTAGCTCAATCACACATTCACACCCAAGATATTTATATTAACTACATAATTCACTAAAAGTTTAAATTTGGAATATGAGATTGTATTTATTTAGAAATTTTAGAAGTTTGATCCTATCTATACTATATAGTGCATTATTTGTTCCAAATGTAAAATTTTTGTTTAATTAGATATGAATTTGTTAGGCTCCTCATTATTTAATAATTAATTCTAATAATGCATGAATGTTATTAATAACTTTGTAAGCTAAATTTTTTTTAAGTTGTAGTTGTATGAAGTTTAGAATATTTGTTACTTATTTATTATATATAAAGGGCTAATATAAAACAAGTATAATGAAGAAATAAAACTGAAAAAATAGGGCTTAGAACTAGATGTATTCCCATTTTTATTCAAAATTCTCATTAAGCATAAAAATTTAAAAATGTAATGCCTATTCATGCATACTATATTTTCCTCTATCATCCCATCAATGGGATAAAAAGTAGTTCTTTAGATGAGCATCATTCTCATATCTGATTGATGAAGATGCAAATTTTGAAAGATCATGGTGATAAATAAATAAATTTATCAAAAGTCAGAAGTGTCAATTGGGGTCGACGGGTCGGGTTTGGGTTGAACCAGAGTTGACCTGGGTCTAAACGGGTCAACCCAAACCTGACTCATTTTTGCAAATAGGTTAGACATTTCAAGCCGGACTCGACTCGAGCGGGTTGCCGGGTTGACACGATCTGACCCGCGCGGCAGAGGGCGGAGCTCGCCACAGTGTGAGTGCAGACGGAGCCCGCTGGACCGCACGACTGCGTGAGTTCGGACTTCAGACGAAGTCTGACAGTTCGCAATACCGCGCGGTCTGTGCGTCCGAGACAGAGTCCAGGGGACCAAGGTCTGTGCAACGGCGCGACTACGTGAGTGCAAATTGGGACCGAGCGTGCGGACAGAGTTCCTGCATTCGCGGGAACGCGTGACAGCACGAGCGCGGTAGTGGGGAACGGAGCAAGGACGGCAGCGGGCGATGGAGTGACTCACGAGTGCGGGCGGAAACTGGGATGGACTTGACTTTCGGGTCAGTGTCGGGTAGATTTAGGGTTTTCAGGTCAACCCGAACGCAACACGTTTTTTGAAACGGGTAAAAAATTTGAACCCGAATCTGACCCATTTGCTAAACGGGTCTTGGTCAAAAATTGACACCCCTAGCTAAAGTCCAACATACCAAATTAATATAGTTAAGGTGATAGTAAACGTGAATGCATTAGTAACATGATTAGACATGATGATAGCTCAAATTTCTAGGATATTATGTTTGTATTTTTTAATGTTTATGGAAATGTTATCTGAAGTTGAGGTGGTGCTTAATATACTGTGCTACTCAAGAATTTGTTAATTACGAGGGGATCGATGAGGAAGAAATTTTTTAGTAAAATAACACATAAAATAAGGGCTAGGCTCAACAATAGTCACCTCATTATTAACACCCACCAAAGCTAATTCTTACACATCAATTGAAAATCAAAGTATTAAGTTTTAGCCATTTGAAGAGGTGAGTGTATTATGTTATTGAAAATCTATACTACTATCATAAAAGGGGATTGAGTTTCGACCCACAGCAAATCTTGACCATCCATTTCATTCCATCTTAAATTATCTTCACCATCCATTATGTTATAAATAATTAATAAATAAAAAATTAATATTTTTATAATTTAATGCTCCTATTGAACTCTACAGTTAAATCAACTGTGCGTGACCTTTCATCTGGGATAAATCTACAACATTTATTTTAAATGTTTCATATTCCAATAGCTGAGAAAATTTATTACTTCCGGTACACAAAGCTTTCTCTAATATCAGAGTATTTTCACTTGATCCAGTAGCCCAAGGGTTGCCTCACTGCTGAGTCTTCTGCTGTCGAGCAGTTAAAACAGCAAAATTAAACATTACACCCTTCGATTTATTGCCGATCGGTCTCCCCAATATTGATTGATTGTCAAACATTTTCTCCAATATTGGAGCGTTTCATTACCGACCATCTGATTTCATGGCTCTTCAAGCTCTTCCCCATCGGCTTCCCATACAAAAGAGCTTTTGGAAGAGTCGCTAAAGGAGCTCCTCGCTTTCTTCTAAGATTATTGTTCCTGCGGATAAAAAATTACCACGAGAGGTCGCCACTTGCTTCGCGCCTTCACCTGAAGAAGAGTTTTGAAAGTGATCAATGTCCTCCAAAAGCTGTGAGATGATTCCATAGGTAACACAAGTGTTTTTTTTTTCTTTGGATAATTATTATTTACCTTATTTTTCATATGGGAGTAGTCTTAATCGGGAGAAAATTCTTTGCCCTAAGTTTATTAATGGATCATTTCCCTCCTTTTCTTCCCAAGATTTCTGGCTCATTTATGTGAAGCTGTTTGGTGTTATTTGCAGCTCTGGGAAATGGAGGCGAATAATGAGAATGGGGTCAAGGATGATGAAGCAACCAGTTCGGCAATATCTGTTCTAGAAGACGAGTTTTTTTTTTTCTTTCAATTTTATGATGATTTTCTATGAGAGAAATATTTGCGATAGAGTTAGGCAATGCTGATCACGTCTCTATATTTTTTATTTCATTTGATATTTTTCCCCGCATTTTATTGTCTTCGATGGTATTCGGGATGCATATTGATTATGGTTACATGGCTAGCTTAAATTCCATATTTTACATGGTTTTTGGGTTTTGTGTCAATGTGTTATTTGTTTTATTTCTCAATGATTTTATGTCACCTTTTCTTGATGATGTTCAATCCCTCTTGAAATCAGAGCAACAACCAAGAAGAGAACCACAAGACCTATGAGGATGATGCACTTTTGTAGCTCAAACTTTTAGCGAAAAAATGGTGATACGCTCCTCATCTCAAAGACCATGGAGGAAGAGGAAGAAAAATTGCTTGAGGAATGAATGAGGGGGCCATATGAGAAGGCTAAGTAGGAAGAGCAAGTGATGCAAAGCTTGGAAGTGAAGTTCAACAAGTTGGATGAGCTTCTTACTCAGGAGCAGTTGTCTTTGAAGCGACCTGCAGGAGAGTAAGAGAAGACAAGAAAATGGAAGAGAAGCTCAAGCCTAATGCATTATCTTTTTCAGTAAGAGAAGACAAGAAAATGGAAGAGAAGCTCAAGCCTAATGCATTATCTTTTTCAGATACAAAAGCCACAGTGATACATCAAAGGTGTATATATAAGTAGAACTAAGTCATATGCCAATGGTAGCAGCTGGAGCAGAGAATTAGTAGAAGTCGTTGGTAGCAGCTAGAGCAGAGAAAGTGGAATCGTGTGTAATGAGTAGATTTCACTGTGATGCACCTACGGTATAGTGCTAATAGTCCCCTGCAAATTAAGCATTCGAGGAGCGAATACTCAATTTGGATCTGAGTTCTTCAAAGAGAGTTGGATGAAGCGGTTTAGTTAGGATATCAGCTGGCTGATCAACGGAGTTGATATGTTTGAGCTGAACCGCTCCATTGTGAACATGCTTGCATATAAATTTGTAATCTATCTCGATATGTTTCGTTCGGGCGTGAAACACTGGATTTAGAGCTAACGCCAAAGCAGAGGTTTTATGACAGTGAATGGGTGTGGGTATAGGTTGGATACCTGATAATCATCCAAGAGTCGACGGAGCCAAATGACATCATATGTGGCTGAGGCAAGAGCACGGTATTCTGCCTCGGTGGATGACTTAACCACTGTAGTAAGAGGACTCGGAGAGAGTGGAAGACCATAGTGAATTGTTCTGTGAATATAACGAAGGAGACATTTGAGAGCTATGTAATCAGCATTTGTGGGACCGAGCATATGTTGACATATGCTGTTAACAGTATAGGCAATATCTGGGCAAGTGATTGTGAGATAGTTTAATGAGCCAGCAAGACGCCTGTAGTGTGATAGATCAGAGAATGGAAGATTGGCGTCGGATTTGAATGTTGGTTTTGGAATCATGGGGTTGGAACCGGTTTGCTGTGTTGAAGTCCAGCATAACATATAATGTCACTTGCATATTGAATTTGAAGAAGAAGTAGACTGGTGAGTTGTTTGATCACTACAATGCCCAGAAAATTTGAAATAGGGCCCAACTATTTCAGAGAGAACTTATGGTGAAGTTGAGTGATAAGCTATTGGATGATAATTTTGTTGTTGCTAGTGATTAGTAGATCATCCAAATATATAAGTTTGAAAATTTTGATGTCATCCCGAGTATAACTTAGCAGGGAGGGATGGACTTTATTGAATAAGAAGCCAAAATGTAGTAGGAAGGAAGTGAAGGTGTTATACCATTCCCGTGGTGCTTGCTTAAGGCCATAGAGGGCTTTGCGGAGCCTGCAAATAAGGTTTGGTTGATCTCGATCGGCAAAACCTGGAGGTTGACGCATATAGACGTGTTCATGGATGTCTCCATGAAGAAAGGCGTTGGAGATATCAAGTTGAAGGACAGGCCATTGGTGGTGGAGGGAGAGCAGCATAAGCACCCGAATTGTTGTCTTTTTTGCCACTGGACTGAACATCTCCTAAAAATTAATGCCAAATTCTTGACCAAATCCTTGAGCCACTAATCGAGCTTTGTAGAGATCAACTTCACCGTTTAGCTTGTGTTTTATTTTAAAAATCCATTTGCAGCCAAGTATGTTTGTGTTAGGGGGACGAGGAACCAAGGACCATGTTCCTTGCTTTTGTAGAGCAAGGAACTCCTCGGACATGGCAGCTCTCCAATGAGGAAATTTGTGGGCTTGGGGAAATGAGGTAGGTATGAAGAGATACGGTTGAGAGCAAGGAAATATGAAGTTTGTTGGTTTGAAGATTAAGGCAGGGATAGCCTTTATGTGAGGGAGAGTATCCTAAGAAGAGATACGGTTGAGTGCGAGGATGAAAATTAGATGGTGTTATGGGTTGAAGCCAAGGAAAACAGAGGCATTCGAAGGTTTTGAGGTGGGTGTAATTGGGAGGTTGTTTGTGAAGAAGCTGATAGGGAATTTGATGATTGCAAGACTTCGTGGGTAGCTCGTTAATTACATAGTTTGATGTGAGTAAAGCTTCCGCACAGTAGTGATGTGGTAGATTGTCTTCATGAAGTAGAGTTCGTGTAGTTTCTATTAGGTGACGATGTTTCCGTTCAGCTGTCCCATTCTGTTCTGGAGTATATGGACAACTGAGTTGATGCGAGATACCATGTTGTGCTAGATAGGACCGAAAAGTAGTACTGGTGAATTCCCCTCCACTTTCGGAGCGAAAATGCTGAGTATTTGTTTTGAAATTATTTTGAATGAGTTTGTGAAACTGTTGAAATTTTGAAAATGTCTCATATTTTGTGTGCATTAAGTAGAGCCAGGTAAAACAAGTATGATCATCCACAAAGATTACATAAAACCGAAAACCAGCATTTGAGGAAATAGGGGCCGGACCCCAAACATCGGAATGTATTAATATAAAAGGTTTGGTTACACGGTGAGAGGTAGAACTAAAAGATAGTTTGTGGCTTTTGGCCACATTACAAGACTCACAAACAAAAGATGACGACGAAAGACATATAGAAGAGAACTTTTTAGATGGTTGTTGATGTGTCTGGGAGTTGGGATGACCAAGCCTGGCATGCCAAAGAGCTGAACTTGAAGTTGAAGTCGTAAAGTGAAGTGCAGTAGGAGGTGTTGTGGTTTATGGAGAAACGGTACGGAGACCGTAACGACAGTGTCCATGGATGAGAGGGCGATTATTGAACAGGTCCTTGATTAAGAAGCTGTTAGAATCAAAGGAGATAGAGCGGTTATTGTCATAAGTGAGTTTATGAATAGAAATTAGATTATGAGACAATAAGGGAACGTGAAGTAATTGACGCATATAAAGCATACGATTCATGTCAGGAAGGGGAAGGAGACCTTGGCCGGTGTGATGAATTAGCCGTGGAGACGGACACAGAACCTGTATAAGGAGCTGAATTCTATAGATTGGCAATGTCAGAAGTGAGGTGGGTTGATGCTCCAGAGTCAAGTAACCATTCATTAAGAGAGGTTGGATTTGAACTGGTCAGAAGAGCCTTTGGTGAAGAACTGGGCGCGACATTATAGTTCGCGTTGTATCTGTGCCAGCACGAGGAGGCAACATGACCCAGCTTTCTGCAGATTTAGCAGGTTGGTCTATTTGTGTCATTCCAGTTTGGAATGGTATTTGGCCTGAAGGGAGCTCCTCTACCTAGAGATCCCATGTATCCAGAGCGACCGCGTGAGGAGCTATTGCAATTGGTATACAAAGGTGTAGGGTCAGGTAGAGCACTGGTATCTCTCTATAGCTCTGTTTGAAGATGGATTTCTTTACTACACAGTAGATTGTAGAGCACGTCGAGACTGAGAGGTAGCTGACTAGTCCGAATGGAAGTTTTGAACGGATTATATGATTGAGGCAGACCGTTCAAAATGTGAAGGATGATTTCTTCAGGGTCCAAGAGAGAGCTAGGATCTGCTATGCTATCCACGAGTGTTTTGATCTTTGCAAAATATTGCATCATGGTAAGATCTTTCATCTGTATGTGATACAGCTCATTTTTGAGCCAAATCACTCTAGACCTGTTGGTGTGCTGAAGTTGGAGTTCCAACATGATCCAGATATCGTCTGCCGTGGAGAGGGTTAAAATGTAAGGAAGAACAGATGGTGAAATCGTGGATAGATGGGCGAAAACAAGTTTTGATCGACTAGATTCCATAGTCGAAGCTCACTGGAGTTGTTTTCAACAGAGGAAGAAGAAGGTGTAGGGCTGGTACCAGTTAGATGTCCTTCATATCCATTTGCTAAAAATAGTTGAAAAATTTGTAACCGCCAGATCGGATAGTTGTCGCTTGTGAGTTGATTAAGTATGATAAGGTTGAGATTATTCATCAGAAACTTCAAGGAGGGAGGAATAGTGAGCTCTGTCATTGCTGTTGATTGAAAAGAGACCGGCTGCGTAGCTCCTGTAGACGAAGCAGAAGTCTGATCCGTCATGACCTAGCAGGAGAGAGTTGTTTCCCGGTGAAGCTCTGATACCATGAAGTGACCTGCAGGAGAGTTAGAGAAGACAATAAAATGGAAGAGAAGCTCAAGTATAATGCATTATCATTTCAGATACAAAAGCCATAGTGATACATCAAAGGTGTATACATAAGTAGAACTAAGTCATATGCCATTGGTAGCAGTTGGAGTAGAGAATTAGCAGATGTCGTTGGTAGCAGCTGGAGCAGAGAAAGTGGAATCATGTGTAATGAGTAGATTCCGGTGTGATGCCATTGTGGTAAAGTGCTAACAGTATTCCAAGTTTCTTCTGGAGGATTTGGGGGATATAATATTTGTACTTTTCTTCAATGATTGCTTAGGTTCTATAAAAAATTTGTGTTATTCTTTTGCTTATGATGTTAAACATTTTTCAAACTGAACGGTTTGGAAAGTCAAGTACAATCGGACATCTCTAATGGGAAGAAGGCTAGCCGTGCTCAGGAGAGGAAGGCAATATTTCATACATGAAATCACCAATCCTGTGAACTTCAAAGATTATATTTGACTATTTAGAAGCATATGAAACATACATGTTACGTTCAAACAAAGGATAAAATAAAATTTATTTTATTGTTAATATCATATATTAGAAAAATGATTCATGCAATTTACCTCACAGTGGGACAAAAATTTGTTGTTATTATTATTGTATAATTGCCACATAATTATTCATATTCTAAATATCTATTATATCGAGATATTATTGTTCAAAATGCTTTTTGTGAGCTATTCGGTTCGAATGAATTAAGATAAATTGTGTTATCTTATTATCCTTTTAATTAGTATTTAGTATGTTGTATCAGGCTGACAATGTCATATTCATAATGAATCTTTATGAGCTTTCTTATTATAATGAATGTGCATTGTTTTTTATGGCATTATTAGTACTTATACAGAGAAAAAATATGTATCTGTTTAATTTGAATGTGGAAACTAATATAATATGTATATAATATATTAAATATATATATATTATATATAATATATAAAAGTATATAGTCTATATATATATATAATTATATATATATTATATATTTATTCTCTAATATATATTCTCTAATAATAATTTTAACAAAAAAAAACCTCTTCATTAATATAATTTAATAATTATATTACTCAGAATGATAAATTTAATTTAATTTTTTTGTTAAGAATGATAATATAACTAAAATATTCATAATATGAATTTTTAATCATGTGCATTTAATGCATGTACATATTAAAGGAAGTGAATAATAAAAAAAAAGAATAAAAATAATTAAAGGAATAAGAAGAAGACTTTGTGTTGTTGGGTCATATTAAACAATTAAAAGATAATTTTCAATTAAATTTTGTTGGTTGCAGGATTCATAATCTACAAAAGTGAACATCGAGCTATATAAACAAGAAGACGCTGTTCGTATTTTTGTATGTTGTTTGTTTTCTAGATTTGGGAGGAGCAAAGAGACTATGGAAAGGGTGAATTAGTTATAAGTTGAAGAGAATGAGTTGATGCCTTGATGGTGAGATTTAGTTTTGATAATTCAAGATTATTAATTAATATTTAATTCAAACTCAAATGATAATATTTTACATTAGATTATAAATAAATCAATCATAAACAACTTATTTGTAAAAATCCCTTCTTTCTAAAAAATAATTTTGATTGATTATTACAATAATTGATAATCATAGAGCATTTACTATCTAACAATCAATTAAATTTTAATTAAAAGATTTATTTTTTATTTAAATATGTAAACACAATTTATTTTTCT